TTTTCTCCATTGGCTGACCTGGAAAATCTAAGACTTTGAGGCTTGACCATGATATCGTGCTGATTCTATTCATTGTGTTATGTTAGGAATTAGACGATCCTCTTATCCTAATTCATGAGAAGAAATATCTAGCTTGAATGCTGTTGTGAAAGTACTAGAGTTGGCTTTAAAGGTAAGCGAATTCTGAACAACTCATGCTTTATGACCATTCTACCTAACTTCGTTTTGATTAATCATCATTCATTAAGACTGTTTTTCTTTCTGAGACTATCAGAACTTCTGAAGTTAGCTTCTATATTTCATTTGTAATAATCTTCTATGCTATATTTGTTCAGAGACAAAGGCCCTTGTTGATTGTAGCTGAAGATGTAGAGAGCGAAGCACTGGCCACACTCATTCTTAACAAGCTTCGTGTTGGAATCAAGGTTTGATGATCAGCCTTATGAATCTTTCTTTCACATTGACTTATTTGAGTCACTTCATTTTCTGGAATATTTATGGGTGCAGGTCTGTGCCATCAAAGCCCCTGGTTTTGGAGAAAACAGAAAGGCTAGTCTACATGATCTTGCTGTCCTCACAGGAGGAGAGGTAGGGCAACTTCGTCTTTCTGCTATGTGATAGTCTTGTTTGTATCATATTGTTCCTCTGAAATTTTCTTGACGATGATATCTGTTTCGTCCCTGTCAGATTATAACTGAAGAACTTGGCATGAACCTTGAAAAGGGATCTGGGAATGCTTGGCACTTGCAAAAAGGTACTATCCATAATTTGGACACAGAAGTCTTTGCACAATGTGATATTTCCATCGTTTTCCTAGAGCAAGCTCATCAGTTCAGAAAACACTATCGAATCCCTTTTTATGTGTACGGGTAATGGGAATCTTTTTTGATGCATGATTCTTTTACTTTTGGCTGTTAAAGGTTACTGTCTCAAAGGATGACACTGTTATTCTCGATGGGAACGGTGACAAGAAATCCATCGAAGTAAGATGCGAACAGGTATTTTTCTTTTACAGACAATTGTTTTAGCCATATTTTGATTCTTGAACTCTACTTGATTTCGTTGATCAAAATTATAACATGTCTTTCACACTAACAGATTAGGTCAGCAATTGAATTGAGCACATCTGATTATGATAAGGAGAAGTTGCAAGAGAGATTGGCAAAACTTTCCGGTGGTGTAGCTGTGTTGAAGGTATTGTTCCTTGTAGTTATCTTCTTTTTTAACTTGTCAACTGAGAAATGCAATGGCTGTTCTTTTCCAATTTGCCGCCTGCTTAAATGGAGTTAACGAAGCTCGGAATTTGTTGGACTTTGTAGATCGGAGGAGCTAGTGAGGCTGAAGTTGGCGAGAAGAAGGATAGAGTTACAGATGCATTAAATGCTACAAATGCAGCAGTAGAAGATGGTATTGTGCCAGGTAAATAACTAAAGCCATAATTGCTTTTCATGAAGTTTCAGTTTAAACTTCGAATATCGTGGAAAGTTACTAAGGAATTTACCATCTAGGTGGTGGCGTTGCTCTTTTGTATGCATCGAAGGAGTTGGACAAGCTACCTACAGCCAACTTTGACCAGAAGATTGGTGTTCAAATTATCCAGAAAGCTCTAAGGGTTTGTAAACTTGTCTCCTTGTTGAATTGGTCAAATTCTTAAAATTCTATTTTTCGTTATACTGTTGAAAAGTTTGGACCTTTCTTCCACCATAAAGTTTTGAAATACTGGCGATTTTGATGTGTGAAGTTTCGTTCTCCCTTATGAATGAATTTTCTGTTGCAGACAGCTGTACCACAATTGCTTCAAACGCTGGAGTTGAAGGGGCCGTTATTGTCGGTAAGCTGTTGGAGCAGGATAACCCTGATCTCGGGTATGATGCAGCCAAAGGTATGTGAATCTATTAGAAGACACGTTCATCGTATGTTTTTACTGTTCACTGAAACTAGCATAGCTTATAATCTTATCTTTTCTCGATAACCAGGTGAATATGTCGATATGGTGAAGGCGGGTATTGTTGATCCATTGAAAGTAATAAGAACTGCTTTGGTCGATGCTGCAAGGTAAGCCGTAAATCTGTTTTCTAAAATCACATTACTGGTCCAGATTCCTGAAAGTCACAAGCTGAGTATGTTTATTTTCTGATGCAGCGTGTCGTCGTTGATGACAACAACCGAAGCCATTGTAGTCAAACTTCCCAAGGACGAGAAAGATGTTTCGGCAATGACCGGTGGCATGGATTATTGAGGTTATTCCTACTAACAAAACACGGATTTACGATCTTTCATAGAATTTTTTCTTTATTTCCTCCATCCCAACATCTGATTACGAAAAACAAATTCGAGTTTCAGTAATTAAGTTAGAAGGATTCCATTTGTAAGCATAAGGGGAGGGGCTATATTGTTGGTAGTTGAAGTGATAAAAGGGTGCTTGTTTGATAGGAAGAACTGGTTTGTATTGAACCATCATTTTTTTTCTTCCTGGAAATAAAAAGAAATGAGAAATCATATTCCTTGCACTGTCTGGTCGATTTTTTGCGAAGAACTGAGAACACCCTTGAAAGGATCCGATCGTGACAGGTTCGGAGTATTTTTACGATAAGGCATGTGAAATTAAATCATCAATAAAAATTAAAAAAAAAATATCTATGAATTATATGAGAATTTAAAATTTTCAGTTACGTAATAGCCTCGAGCATCCTCTCCATCTATCCCTCATCATCACAGGTAATGAATGTGTTGTAGGCTTGGTGGGAAACTGGAAATAGATAGAACAAGTCTTATCTACTGAGAGCAACACATTATATAGTAGGGTGCGTGTGAACAAATTCCAAGCATAGAAATAATTGATGAGTTAATTGTACCATATGTCCCTGAACATTGTTCTCCATTTCAAAGTGAATCCTAAACTTTTGAATATTCTAATTTCATCCTTAAACTATGTTTTCATTTTAAATTATTCTCCAAACTTTTGAATATTCCAATTCATCCTCAAATTATAACCTTCATTCTATATTGATCCCCAAGCTTTTAAATATTCTAATTTTAACTTTGAAGTTTTGAATGATTTATGGGGATATCAGTGGAATATTTAAAAGTTTGGGGACTAATCTAGAATAAGGGTCACAGTTTGAGGGTGAATTTGAAATGTTCAAAAGTTTGGGGACTAATTTAGAATGGGAGTCATAGTTTAGGGATGAAATTAAAATGTTCAAAAGTTTATGGACCAATTTAAAATAAAAATCATAGTCGGGGATATATGTTACAATTAACTCTTAATCGATTTGCATAGTAGTCTTCGAGTAGAAATTTTGGGGTTTGATCTAATAATGTAAAATGAGGTGTAAATGAATTATGACTTAATTGATGTGATATATAAGTTTTGAGGAGTACATTTTTATTATATTAGATAATATCACATCTTTATTAAGTTTAAGGTACTAAATGTGCAATTTATTCACAATAGTTATAGTAACTTTAAGGAGAAATTTGAAATTTTTTTCTTCTCTACATATAATTTTCATTATTTAATTTTTTATATAAATATATTATTATTTTATTCTTTACTATTGTTTAGTGATCTGCAATAATAATTCCTATTTATGGTAATAATTGTAACCATTTACGTTAACCTCTAAGCTAGAAGAATAAATTGTTAAGTGTAATTTAAATTTTTAATATTTATATTATAAATAAGTATTTAAAAATATATTTTTTATTAAGTATTTTAAAGTTAAATTAAGCTCTTAATGTTATTTTTGATTAAAATGAGTATCTAAAATATTTTTTATCGAAATATGCACCTAAAGTATTCAATTTTTTCATTTAAATTCTAAAAATTCAACACGTGACATTATTTAAAAATACTTTAGGTATCACCAACAGGGATTGGTTCAAATAGTAAGCAGCTTGATATCACTTAAACAATGTCTCTAATTCGAGTCCCTATGTATGTAGTGAGAGACTCATCCACCAAAGTCAGGTGTGTGACATGGGTCGGCCAAGATAAGTCAAAGCGTAACCTTGAAACTCAGAGGACAATAAAAAAAATACTTTAGGCAGGTACCTATTTTAATAAAAAAAATACTTTAGGTAGGCACCTATTTTAATAAAAAAAAATACATCAACTACATATATTATTATTGTTCTGGTCAAACATTTTTTTAATTCAATTTCCAATTAAGTTGTATTATAAGATTTGTTTCTGTTTATGTATAGATTTGGTTTTCATTTGAGTGTTCTATTATGTTCATTTTAGTTATAGATTCGATATTTATGATTTAGATTTAGTGTACAAAAATTAAAAACTGATAGAAAATATTAATTTATTGGTTTAATACATTTTAGGTGCTTAAACAATATATCAAATTAATTTTTAGTGTTTAAAGAGTTTTTCATTAAAAATAGGTACCTAATGTTTTTTCCGTTACATTTTATGTACCTACTGCTAAAAAACCGTTAAGTGACGCATGTCACGTTTAAATTTTTAAAAAAATATTTTTAAATAATATTTTATTTTTTAAAAAAGATAAAAAAAAATATAAACGTGATACGTGTCACTTAACGATTTTTTTAACGGTAAACACATAAAAGTGTAATGTAAAAAACATTAAGAGGGAAAAACAGAATATGGAAATGGAAATTAAATCCAAAAAGGATAAAGATATGGTAGACTTCACTCAGATATGGTATATTTATTAAACGATGGTTGGTAGACTTCACATATGGTATTTTTTTGGGGGTGGGTGGCAAAACACATATGGAAATCAAATCCACGACATGCCTATATATACATATCTACAGTGTAAAATATGCAATCCATCTATCTTTTTACATCTAAAGTTTCAGGTTATTCTTGATTCTTCCTTCAATTATTATTATTATTATTATTATTATTTATTGATTTAAATAATATTCAAGAAAACGTATTTTCTTTATTGAATTATTATTACTTTTTATTGATTTACTTCATGAATAATATTCATGTTAAGTTATTATGGCAGAGAAACATGACCACCTGCAATGGCAGCTCCACTGGAAACCAGAAGATGAATAGGAGAAAGGTCATCTTTGTGTATATATATAAATACGCTGAAAATAGTTATATTTTTTATATATGTTCCTTCAGATGATCATCTGTAAAGTTTTAGGTTATTCGTGCACGTAAATTTGCGAGTTTAAAATTATACAAACATTTAAAAGTTCAATCGATACGAAATTTAAAATTGAAATTGATTTAGAAATATTTTTAATTTTATTAATATTTTCCACTTTTTTAAGATTTTCTTATTTCAATTTTGTGATTAAATTTTGATCGATCGGATTTGAATTTTTTTTCTATCGAATTTTAAATTATAAATTACTAAATCATTTAAACATTTTTATTCAAATTGGTTTTCGGGTTTTTGGTGTTAGTTAATAATCTTTGTGACCTAATATGTAACTAATAAATATTCATGTGAACTTATTATGACAGGCAAACATGAAGTTTAAAACCATGAACAATGGCCACTCCACTGGGAACCAGAAGATGAATAAGAGAAAGGTCATCTTCGTTTATATATATATACACTGGAAAATATTTAAAAGTTTAATCTTTTTGACCTAATATGTAACTAATTGTGGCAGCGAAGGATGGCGGTTAACACCATCAGCAATGGGCGCTCCACCGAAAACAAGAAGACGAATAAGAGAAAGGTCATCTTCGTTATGGGAGCGACGGCCACCGGAAAATCCAAGCTTGCCATCGACCTCGCCATTCATTTCAATGGCGAAATCATCAACTCGGACAAGATTCAGCTTTACAAAGGACTGGAGATCATAACAAACAAAGTCACAGATGAAGAAGCTAAAGGCATACGCCATCACTTGCTCGGAACCCTCGACGACCCCGACCAAGACTTCTCCGCCGCCGACTTCCGTCTCCGAGCAACGGAAGCCATCGAGGATATTTTGAACGACGGCAAAGTCCCGATCATCGCCGGTGGATCCAATTCATACATAGAAAACCTAGTGGAGGATGAGAACGGCGACTTCCGCCGCCGTTTCGATTGCTGCTTCATCTGGGTCGATGTTTCGCCGATCGTTTTGCACAACCGGGCGAGGGAACGGGTTGACCAGATGGTGGCCGCCGGACTCGTGGATGAGGTTAGGGGAATGTTCAGGGACGGCGGCGGAGATTACACCCGGGGAATAAGACGGGCTATCGGAGTTCCAGAAATGGAGGCCTACTTCACGGTGGAAGACGATGAGAACGTCAAAGAAGCGACGAAAGGGAAAATCCTTGCGAATTGTATCGACGAAATCAAAGAGAACACGTTGAAGTTGATCGATTCTCAGCTGGGGAAGATCCGACGGCTGAAAATTGAGCTTGGTTGGAAGCTGAAAAGGGTCGATGCCACCGTCGTGCATGAAAAATCTGGACAAGACGCTGAGATTGCATGGGAACATGGGGTGCTCAAGGAAAGTTTGGATATAGTGAAATGCTATTTAAAGTAAACGTTTTTATAAATTATTTTTCGATAATTATCTCAATTTAACAACAGACCACAATTGAAATTAAAGTAATTATTTGCGTTAAAATAAACAAAAGAAATACAAATACTATCATAATTTATGTTTATTAGATTATGTTTTTTATTACTAAAAAAATTAAAATTATCCGAGGTAAAGTTTATAATTTAATTTCTTAATATTATTATTTGAATTTATTTTGAATATGTTATCGTTGATATTTATTAAAATTATGTTTTTGCACCTTTTTTAAATTTTATAAACTTATTTTCTCCTAAAATTTTAGAGATTCGTCCTTTTAAGATAAAATTTTGTGTTTATCCCCACCCAAAATGTTCTTCAAACTCGATGCAGGGTTGTTCTATTTTCAGAGACCAAAGTATAATCAAATATAAAAAATAAAACGGGTTAATTATATGGTTGATCATTTATGTTTGTGTTTTATTCAGTTTTCCTCATTGATTTCAAAAATAGTCATTTTTATTTTTTTTAATTAAGATGTAGTCATTATGAGTTAGTTGTTGTTAAATAATCACACATTTGATCCTTATTATTTACATATTCTCTCAATTCAGGCATACTTTTAATAAATTAAAATAAATTTAATCCTTCAATCGAATGATGTCAAATTTCACAGTTACACGTGTTACCCTCTAGTTGAAAAAAAAAACAAAGCAAAGCAAATTGGGACTAAAGGGATTCAAACTTTGGTCTCTTGGAAAATCAATTATGTACCCATTTAGGGACGGACACAAATTTTATGTTCGGGTGAACTTGAACTTTTAAAATCCTAGAGGGGGCAAACTTGAACTTATAAAATTCCAGGGGACGAAAACATATTTTCAATAGAAATAAATAGAAAAAATCTAAAATATATAAACTTTAAAATTTCATGAGGCGACTGCCCCCACTCGCCCTCCTTGGTCCATCCCTGTACCTAACTATTAAGCCAATACCAATGCTTAGTCTAAAATAAACAACATAATGTATATATTTTGTATCTTAGTGTATAATACTCCATATCTGAATTAAATAAAAACCAAATTGACCATATATTATGTTTTGTAAAATTAGTAAAAAAAAAGTGGACAAAACACAAACATAAATGATCATTCGTTTGGTTAACCCAAATAAATAAATACGTCCTAATTATATATATATGCTGGTAGGAAAATGGATAAGCCCACTATGATGGGCTTGGATGAAAATTTAAGGCCATTTGAGATGAGTTCACACTACGGGTAGAAATGGTAATTTAATATAGATCCAATTTTACCTTGATTCAATTCGATAAATTCAAGTTTTTTAATAAAGAAAAATTAGGTTTGGGTAGATTCAACTCATGTTTAGGGTAAAAATCTATTGTATTGAAGACGTGGATTTAAATATGCTTAAGTATGCGAGAATCCATTAGCAGGGTAATGAATATTAAACTATAAAAAAATTATTAAAATTAATTATGTTATTAAATGAGTGGAAAGCTAAGCTAGTGAAATTTGAGGTCCAGAGAGAACTTATTGCAAACCAAACTTAACATGAGGTCCATCTTGTTTCATAGACTTCTCATGAACACCCCATGAAAGACAACTTGCAATGCCATACCGTATACATGTAGGCAATATTTTTCGATTCGAATGGATTCGAACCGATTTTCGGATTTTTTTTAAAGCGATGGTATAAGGTTTCCGTTTGCTTCCAACTTGGAGAAATAAAGAGGATGAACGATGAAAAAGTAAGTTGCCTTTTGGGTATTTTAACAAAGCAATAAAGAAACAAACAGAATGCATGCATGCATGCATTTCACTCACTTTCCCCCCCACCCATAAACAAAAAGGCATTACATTGAAAAAAAATGTGAACAAAAAGAGTTTAAGGACTAAATTGAAAAAATGTTAAGTTAAAAGACTAAAAGTTTATTTATCTCTTTCTAGTGTACCTCCAACTATATACAACATGAATACAAATAATAACAATTTTCTTTAATAAAAATGATTTTGTTATTCTGAGGATATATATGTTTGTATATGCAACTAGTGACATTACCATAGCCTTTTTTGCATAGGATTGGCAAGTTATCTTTGATATAAAAATTGTAGTCATTAAATTTTTAAAAGTCATAAAATGATCATTAGATTCATTTAACTATAACAAAATGGTCATTGCGATGTTATAATAAGTGTAAAAGTTTGATAAATTTTATGACAATCTGGTTTAATAATTACTTTGTAAAAATTGATAAATTTAATGACTATTTTGTAATAATTCAATAAATTTAATAACTATTTGTAAGTTTAAAAAATTCAGTGACCAAAATGATTATTTTAATATAATTTAGTGACCTATGGTGTACTCTACCCAACTAACTAACACTTTTCTCTAGAAAAAATATATAAAAATAATGCTCCATATTATATGCAACATCTTACTTGTGAATTGTCATGGAAATGTTCCCACCGGCACTTTCCCAGCAATTTGATGGCCATAGGGTGCGAGTGGGACCAAGCTACTTTTCCCTTTATTTCATTTCTCTAATTACTTTAATATTTTGCTCAATTAAATTTGTACAATTTGTATATGATATAAAAAATTAAATAAATCATCGAGTAGTATCAGTAGCTAAAGAGATTATCGTTTTCTCTATAGATCTTGAATTTGAGCAACTGCATTTTACTATGTACGTAAATTATCAACGATTAAATAATATCCTAAACAATAAATATTATATCGTAATCATATCAATAAATCCAATTACACCTTAAATTTAGGTCCGAATTCATATCATAAAATGCCCTACATCCTCTTCCTTTTACCCGAACTTGAATTCGAACCCAAAAATTCAATTACACCACTTAAATATATTCCTCTTGAGAATAACATTACATTTTAAAGAACTTTTAATATATTTCAATCAATTCTACTATTAAATAAATAATTAAGCATTTTTATTCAATAATTAAAGGGTTACGTAACATGCCACATGAGCTTTTCATTGACATTTTGTCTGAATTATTCTTATATTATATATTGTATTTGATAAAATAATTGTCACGGGTCTTATTTTACATGTTAAGATTTCAAGTTGACGATTAAGGACAAAATTGAAACAAAATAAAATATTTGGAGATGCGAATAAAATTTACATCTCTACAGTATATATATATATAATGATTCCTTCAATTTAAGGGAATGCGTGACTTTAGTGGCGTTTTAAATTTTGTTTAAAAAAAATTAAATATTGCGTATTTTTTTATATTATTTTTTGAAAATATATTTTTTGAAAGGATAAATTATTAGTATAAATTATGTATTTAATTTTTATATTATATTCAATACTATTCTATGTCTTATATTAAATTCTACATAATTTACTACATAATAATTCAATTTGTAGAATTTGTTCGTTCACCTTGTTCAAGTATTTTAATTTACCCTAGATTTTAAATATTTTAATCATGATAGTTTAATATTTAAAATTTGAATAAATATATCTTCTATAGAATAATATATATATATATAATCAACTAATTTATCAAAATAAAAATATCCCAAATTACAATAAAGATGAAATTTAGTAAATTAAACACATAATTAGTAAAAGTTTCTATAATCATTGAAACAAACTAGCACTTAAGATCTTAAGATCACATAATGATCATACAAGGAAAGATTATAAATCTAACCAATAAATTCGAATAAAAATAAATACAAACAGATCAAATTGGCAAACGAATCTAAAAGAGGATCAAACTATCGAAAGACCACTGACAAACCGCAAATCAGGCTCGAGTAACGCGACAAGCTATTTACAAACACAAATCGAGTATCCAAATCCAATCCGAGCTCCAAAACATGAATGACCAACAAGATATCAGATAAAACCATCTTATCAGTCGTGACGAAGTCAAACCAACACTAAAAAAATGACCAAACGATCGAAAAACATACCAAAATATATAAAAAAAAAAAATGTCATATAGACAAACTTATTGAAAATAACAAATAAAACAAAAGAAAATAGATATACAATATAAAAAAAGATAATAAAAAAATACCGACGGTCAGTAACTAATATTAAAGTTGATATCGTTGTCAATTAAATAAAAAAGAAAGAGATGAAGGACACACCAAAATTAGGGGTTTTTCAATGAGATGAAATTGTATAAATATAATTTTTAAACTTTTTGATCGAATTTTTTAATTAGTTGGGTATTTTTGTTATTATAAATGATTTTCAAGTTGAAATTTGATACATTACCCAAAGGCCAGTGGCGTGCCAACCCGAATTTGGAGATTCGATGATTAGAGAAAATCGACCGCGTTGACTCATGGTCAAAACTAGACCAGGCTGAAGAGGATGCAAATAAAATAGGTATTATTATTTACTACATAAATTTATTTTATATAATTTTTATTTTAATATTAAGATTAAAAATTTAAATCTTAAATAACAAATTTTAAATTCCAAAATCTTAAACTAGATAAATTTATATGGACTAAAATTTACTCAATATATGTATAAGATGATTTCATTAAATAGTAGAGAAGAATACAATTTACAAGTACAATTCATGGTTTTTAGAACCGGACCGGTTAGCGAACCGGCCATGCTACCGGTTCACTGGTTTAATCGGTCGAATCGGTCCGACCGGTCGAAAGAACCGGACGATGTCATAATTATTTAAAAAATTACATAAAAATATCAAAAATATTTAATAAAAAATAATTTTATATCACAAGTCATATTCAAAGCAAGTCATAATATATAAATTAAAAACCATAAAATCAAGTGAAACAAAATGATTCAAATTAACTACACATAATATTTAAGATAAAACATATTAAATAATAAATATAATTATATAATTATAATTAAAAAATAAATTTGGGGCTAAAAAATCATAACAAATGATATTGTTTGGTTTATTTTTTTTAAAACAATCTCACATGGCTAAGAAACATAGAAAAGCATCCCAAAAGTTTAAAAA